GACCTCTTTTATTACATACAAAAAAGAAAATGGCATATTTATCGCCTGAACAATACATGTAAGTCCGATGCAATCACTTTTGTATGTTTAAATGACTACATGAAAAGTGGATACGAATAAACTAAAGTATATATTGAAGGTATAAAGACCAAGATGGTGTGACCTTTTGTATGGTCGCAGTCCCCTTTCGTTGCATACATGCAAACAATGGACTCCGGACTAGGTGTGTTCCTATAAGTCTTCCTACCAATATGACCAAGTTGCGAAAACAAGGTCAAACAACTTCTAAAGTATATACTTACATCACATTCCACATAATTGAAACGTGAGAAGACACCAAAACTTTCAAAAAAACAAATAAAAATGAGGATAGCAAAAATTAAATTGGCTATTATGACTAGGTGGATATTAGACAAGGATTTAGAAAAATTAAAAACGGGCCATATAGCTCGAAGGAATATTCTAAACTATTGCTACAAGTAAATCTCAAAGTATAAACTCTAAACTACTTTAAAATATTTTTCCTTCATAAGTATGGTTTCTCATATTACCATAGAATGCATGAGATGTGTTCATCCTATTTCGTTTAAGATGATAGAGTGATAGTTGAATTTTTCTACAATCTGATGAGTAGGACTCACTGTTACACCGAACTTCATATAGCCTGGCTTGCAAAAAGGTATACTCGTACAGGAAGAAGTGGACTACATTTTCTAACTCACCAAGGTCTCATCAACACCATCGGCGGGACTCGGCAGGAAGGCCAGGCATTTGCCCACATTATATTCTGCGATGGGAATGTCGATGAAGCAAAGTTATAATTGCTTATATAAGCAACCGAATACGTTACTTAAGTTTCGTCTTGAAGTAATAGTTTGAGGATACCAGTGGATCGTATATAAGAAATGAATACTATGATTAAGAATACCTTTTTGGGAGGAAGAATTAGTGAAATTCAATGGAAACGTAAGGTTTACTCAAATCATTGCGGTAAAATTTAGCCAATCCTTCATCACCTTAAACAAAATAGGATGAACATATTTAATATATCTGATTTACTGGTAGTCTCGAAGCCCTACTTACAAACAATAAGTTCTATAAAGTAGCTTAGCAATGAAAACAGCATGATTTTGCCTATTGTCTATAATAAAAGACCAGGTTGATGAAAACAGATTAGTTTGAAAGCCGAGACTAAATATTGAAGTGCATAAATAAGAAACTTTGGATGCGAACAAAGTGCAGGACATATGTTGACCACAACAAGGTAAAAAAAGAATCTCGGTAAAGGACCGCCCATGACGTGAGAGTTCGTCGAGATGAGGCATGAGACAAGTTCACATCGCCGATCCAGTCAAGCATAAACAAAGCAACTTCAAGGCAATCTTCGAAGTTCAGAGAAATAAATCAAAAATTTAGTTATGTCCATGCAATCATACAAAACGAAAAGTGAGATATTAAATAACAAGACAAAGGTTGGCATGATTTTCAAACTTTTAGTGTTATCATGGTGATTATGGACAACATACTGCCTATGAAGCCACTGCTAACATAAAATTTTAAAGATTGATTAGTTACATTATAAGACGTATAGACGACATAGCAGCTAAAGAGTGCCATCAATAGTATTAATCTATAGATAATCGAAGTAACCGGTCAATTCCCCTAACGATTCTTTGCTATTCCTCATACTCACTGTCTCGGTAGATCAATCATCTCAGTGCTCTATCCACAACCCTCCATCCAACTTCAAATGATGATCAAGACTCGTCTCAGTTCCAAATTATACTCTCATGCGATCAAATAATGTATAGAAATGAAACTCATTAATTGGACTCTTTCAAAACGCATCATCACCTCTACGGAATTTCTTGAGCCAGATTGGCAACTCAATTCGGAAGCATCTCTCTCCATGCATTTGACAATCCGTAACTGACTATATTCACTCATCCGTCTAGTTATTCCCAGAATGGGCATCGAACTGACATTATGACTATGTTGCATACTCTAAAAATCTAGAGGCCAATTACACAAAATGAAGCAAATAAAGTGGCAATTATAGTCATGAGTAATAAAAGCCAAATAAAAATATCTTGCCGGTCTAAGACGACTTTCAGACGTATACCACTATAATGTGAAGACAAATATGACGTGGCCTTTAATTTGTTTTCAGAATGTGCCAAGTATGCTGTCCGAGGCTGGAAAATTATCATGACTATTATGGCATAGGACTCCGGATAAGTTCATCAAGATCGACCTGACAACAAGAACAAGTTGAGAAGACGAAGTCAAGCCACTTTCAGGCAATTATGATCAAGGATTTAGATGAATTCTAATGGCAAAACTTGAGGGTTGCCTACAAAACTATAAAAGTAGCGGATAACTGAAAGGAGAACACAACGAAGTTCTAGGGACGATTTAAGAGTATGGTTAATAGAAGAGCTGTGGGATGCATAAAGTTTCACGATTTATTTGAAAACAATTAAAGTAAATCTTTGGATCATGATAGTTACTGCAAGTAATTCTAAGCTAGTAGATAAACAAGTTATAAAACGTAAAGATTTGCATGAGATTGATTAAAAACTAATCAAACATTGAATTAAGAGTTAAAAAGTTTGGAAGGTAAATTTTATGAGTCAATACGAGGTTTAAGATATGGGATCTGAGTTGGCTCCAAGTTTCCCACATAACTAATTAGTTTAATTGGAGGATAGCCAAATTCAAGAAGCACAATTGTTCTCTAAATTATCGTTTAGGCACGTTTGATAACTACATTGTGCTCAGGAGGTTGGAGTTAGTAAGGTCGGGTATAAATGGTTATTATAAGCTCAGAAATGCAGATTTCTGTTTGGATTATGTCCTAACTACACTCATGGAGTGAAGATAGAGGTTAGGAAATCAACGATGCTAATAGTGGACAATGACGGGAAAAGTCTATTTTCTGCAAATTTCAGAGATGAAGCATTAAGCGTATGTAGAAAGGTCCTATTTTTAGGAATTTCTGGACCCTCTGTTTAGCGCAGTTTACAACAAGGTTTGTGCTCATTTGCTTGTGTTTAGGTAGAGATTTGACAGTCTATGCATAAAAGGTTGTGCGAACATAAAACAGCTTTTAAATGTTTGGATACAGAATACCTCAGACCTTAGATGATTCATGAGTATCCGATACATTGAACACAGGTTCAAAAGAATACAAGTGTCAATACTGCATGATTAAATAGAAAGAATCGAGGTGGGAATGCAGCCATCTAGTCACAACCGCATACAGTTCACATGAAATCCGCAGCTACTCCAATCTTCAATTATGTAGGAAATGCTTGAGATAACTAACCGAATGATGAGATGCCTCATTAGTGGGCAAAATCCTATTCTATCAGTGGGTTTTTTTAATTTCATAAAGCATGGTTTCAAGCTCTGACAAGGTCTTTCCAAAAACTAACGAAAATTCATTATTCATTAGGGTCGCACGAAGGAGAGCTAAGAATTTTAACACAAATTTATTCAAAACTAATAGGCACTTCTGCTTCGTATTCTGGTGGAGCCAAGTAGAGAATTCCTAACATCCGCCTTTTTAAAAAAGATGAATTGAGCAATGTGAGAAGAATTGTATCCGATAAATTGCTCGGAAAAATTATTTAGCATCATTCAGCTACCAGCACTTAAATAATCCTTCTGAATCGAAACGTATATAGGTCAAGGAAGCTTCTGTCCGAAAAAGACGGTCAGTATTGTTGTTCCCGAATCCTAAGTAAAAATCCAGTCCATTTTGGGTCTATATATGTAGGCTTTGGAAAAACAAATAATTTAAGTCTGAACTCTTTCCCAAATTGGCTGAGGGCTAATGGAATTAAGTTGTAAGGAGAAGGAAGCATTCGTTTAAAATAGAGGATTACAGGCCTAATTTAATAAAATGTAACAGTACCAAATTGCTTATTAACTGGTCCCAGTAATAGAGAACTTGAAACTGAATGATGACCTTTTTAATGACATTTGGTATTTCTGATCTCTCTATATTTATAGATAGCATTTTGGTGTTGCCAGTTTTAGGATATTAGGTATAAAAATCCAAATGGGCTCAAGAGTAATAAGTACATTTCAGTCAGAATAGTGATTAATGTTGGAGAATGATGCTTACCTCAGCTCGAAAGGAAATGAATGGCAGACCTCCTGTGGAAACGTATCGTGTATCGAAGTCACACTGGGGCGGATCGAGATAGAAGATTGGGGAAAGAAAGGAGAAATGACGCGGGGAGCGGTCGAGGAGATTGCTGATAAAACGGAGGATGTAGCATGTTGGCAGTGACTGTTGATGCTAGTTGATGCAGAAGGGAAAGCAGCCTTATTAATGGCAGAAATGTCGGGGGTAGTAGTAGAAAGAATAGGAGTGAAGAGGACATCGGCACTACCATCTATTGCTAAGACAGGCCCAGCATCAAAGTTGACACAGGAAGTACTGGTGGATACCGAGCTGATTGTATTTGAGTCTGGCAATGACGATAAAGGCGATGAACGGATAGAAAGTAAGGCAGGAGTGGAGACAAGAGACCCAGTAACATTATCCCTAGATGTTCGCGAAAGGCCGCGTGTGCTCCTAAGCTTCCAGTAGCCTACCATTGGGCTAGATTTAGAAGGGATTTCAGCACTGTCGGAAGGAGAGGATAGGGCATAAGAGGAGTTTACAGAGGATACTATGTTGAGAGAGGAAGAGGAATTTGATTGCATGAATGAAGTTGGCGGCGAATGACAACGCAGGCCCGTTTCACGGGATGTGGCCGAGCTAAGAAATACAAAAAAATGAATAGAATTATTAATTATGCTATAATTACATAAGGTCATAATGACAGTTGGGACGTTAATTCAAAAAGATAGAACCATAGAAAAAGTAAAGACGAAAGCAAAAATTGTGACAGCAAGCAAGCCTAATAAGGGAATAAAATAAAATTCATAGATTAATGCGTTAATATTTAAGCATCAAGGATCTGTAAACGATGTTATATTAAAGTTGGTTAGGAAGAAATAAGAAGGTTATAAGGTCTTAAATCAAAAAAGGTAATACGATTTTGATCAGTGCCTTTATGCGGAAAAATAAATATAATAAATAGACTATAATAGAGCTTTCAATCTTCAATAATCTTGATCATCTAGCGGCCTAAAGTAGCCTCTATCAAGCCAGAGCATATAATTGTTGAAGAACTTTCATTTCGTATGAAAATACATGACGAAGAGATTCGAAAGTCGATTTCACAAGA